TTAATTGTGTTAGTTTAATTGAAAAAAATTTATATTTTATTTTTTTAGAAAAACGAAAAAAAAAATTTTGGACTTTCCCGACGATGGATATCTTAGACAATTTTCTTGAGGGATTTAAGTCTAAAGAAAAAGGACAAAAAGATTTTCTTGTAGGTAGTGTAGTAATTCCCCCTTGGTTTTTCTTTGTGTCGCGGTTCTTTTCCAAGGGTTTTGTTTGAACCGGGTGTAGTTAGTTTTATTTTTTGGGGAGTAGAAACCATTGTGTTCTGATTTGAATTGAAGCAATATCTCTTGACTTTGTTATGCCTTGAGAATAGTGAGTACTTTGGTTGTGACGCTTAGGCTCAGTTTTTGACTCCTGTATAAGTACCTTAAGTTGTATGTTCTTAACTTTGCTTAACTACTTTGACTAGAGTATCTTGATGATCCAATCTTGAGCGAGTCATGTGCCATGTACGTGTGAAGGTTGCTGTATTCTGTGCATTGCATTTGATGCCTATAACTTGCACCGTGTGTTTTCAAAGCAAAATAGTAGTTTTGTTCAGTCTGAAAAGTGATATAGGCGTTTCTTTGTTGAGCCATTTATATATTTTACCCGCCTAATTGTTATGTATCTTAGTTAACCCCTTTGAGCCTGTAATCCTATTTCTCTGGCAACCACATTACAAGCCTTACCCATTTGTTTGAATTAACCATCTATTTGAATATTTTAACCTCTCATGAGCACCTGAATTGTTATGAACTGTGTAAAAGTTAAAGTGTGGGGTGGCTGATTTGGCTTTTAAGTGGAACTAATGAAATAAGGAGAAAGGTGTACTGTTTTGAAAAGTAAGAGCCACTTGAATTGGAAAAAAATAAAGAAAAAAAAAGTGGTTGTATTGTTGTGAAAAATATTCATTGTGGTGGTGGCTTTTGATGTAATTGTGCTTAAAGAAGCATGGGGTAATATACATTGATGTGAAGGTAGAGTTATGGTTTGACATAAGTGTGGGCTGGAATGTTAAAGTATATGTATTAAAGTGCTTAGGGAGGTGTAGTCACTCTTATATCTAAATGTATCCTACCCGTCCCGCAGCCTACATTACAACCAAATAAAGTCCTAATTGATCTTTGATTGAATGAGCTCGATTAGTAGAGTAGTACATTACGGGCAAGCTTATGGTGCATCTTTTGTGGCATTTAAATATTATTTTTGAGAGTGAGTGAAGTCTTCCTATCTTGAGTTCATAAGTGTCTTAAATTTTATTGTGTGGAACTACTCTTTTTTGTTGTGTGAGGGAACTTAATTCATGAAGGACAGGTAATGTCAGTGACCTCTATGTTAGAGTAAGTGGGTGAGTTGTGAATAATGCGTGGTACTTGTGAGTCAAATCTTGAGGTGAAGATATTACGCTTTTGCGCTTAGTCTATTTTAAATATTGTTGGTGTGACGAGTTAGGAGAATTATTTAAAAAGGTCGTGTCTATATAAACTGTAGTTTAATTACTCAAGGGCGGGCAATGATTTAAGTGTGGTTTGTTGAAGATATGCTACAATTACGCATTTTAGTCGCTTATTACACTCAAATTTACTGCATTTTAATTGAGTTTGAGCTTTAATCGCTAGTGTCTTGCACTAATTGTGTGTTTTATGCCTTGTAGGAGTGATTCCGAGCTATATAGATGTTATGGGATGAATTCAAGTGATTTGGAGCTTTGAAGTCTGAGTAAAAGCTCAAGGAATTAAGCCGGGATCGTGTTCGGGGGTCAACGGATGATAGCTAGAACAAACGAAGAATCAAGTAGGTATATTGCACACTATCTAGTAAAATGCACATAACTTTGTGTTCAGAACTCCATTTGGGCTCCACAATATATGGTTGTAAAGATAACTCAAAGGGCTATAACTTTTATATTTTACGTTTTTTCCAAATTCCTAACAGAACAGGGTGAAAACTGCGCGTCAAGTGCTCATCCGCGCTCAGGCCGCGCTCGTCAGGCAGAATCAACGCGGTCTGAGCGCGGTCCAAGCGCGGCTACGCACGTCCTATCCGGAAAATGTGTCCCTTTTCGCATAGGAGAAGGTTTAATTATTGGAGTCTAACCCTACTTGGTATATATACATGAAAAAATGGTATTTTGAAGACTTTTTACATATTTTTGACATAATGTAGACCTAAGGTGGCTAAGGAGACCGGGATTCGACCTAAGGAGGCAAGAGCACATTAGGAGCAAGGCGGAGAATTCTTCCACGAGTTTTTCACTTCCTTCTTCTTATTTCCATTATTGGTTATGAATTCTAGTATTGTAGTTTTGCATACTATTATGAATAGCTAATTTGTTATCCAAGATTTTGATGGAACCTTTTGGAAGATGAATTCTTGTTATGTTTTTATATAATTGAGCCGTTGGATTTCTCTACTTGTTCAACTACGTGTTTGTTGCTGTTGATTGAATGGCCATCAATTGACTGTGCCTATTTAGTGTGTACTGCTCGAAAGAGAATATATATTTAGGTAGTTGTTGAACAACATCACTCCTAACGTATGTGAGAGATCAATACGGAGGGTTTAAAAGTAGGTTTAGAAATAACAAAGCCTTGATGTTGTCATAGTGAGCGGTTAGATAAAGTCAACTAGCGTAGTTCGAGAGTATATGTCTAGTAAATTGTTGTAGTTGCTCGAGAGAGAATTACAGCACCTAAAGTGTTCACGATCAACAGAGAATACATTGGCGAAATTGTAGGGAACATAGCTAGAAGGATTCCGACAATTGGAGAAATCATAACTCTAGACCTCCTTAATTTAGTCTCCAACCCTTTGTCTCGTTAGTTGATAATTTTACCCCTTTCTAGTATTTGCTAGTTAATTAGTTAGAAATATAAATCTTAGTCTTTATAATTTAGAAAATTATTCAAACTTGTCTTTTTAGTGATATCAAACAGTTATAGATAAGCCTTAGTTCTTTGTGGGATTCGACTCCGGACTTTTAGACCGAATTATATTTGCAGCGACCGCTTATCGTTTTTAGGACTAGAGTTGGGCGTGACCTGTGTGTTAGCCTCTCTAGAGTAATTGTAATTGTGATCTATTGACAAAAACTTCAACGATTTTGAAACATATTAGCAAAATGAACATTCTCTCTGTCAGGAAGACTTATTACTTTTTTTTTTTTTTGTAATTTGATTGAAGAATTTGTATTATCCTAAACTTTTTGAATTTTATGCAAAATATCCGAGATAATCATATAGGAGTATAATTAAACAAGTCTACAAGGTTTAGAATCATGTTCGTTTATTTTTGTGTCTTTCCTTATTAATTTTGTAATCATTTTTTGTTAAAGTTGTAATGGGCATTTTAACACCAACTTCATTATCGATCTTAATAAGAATAATATATAAAGATTTTTTTTTTTTTTGCAATTGTATATGAAGTAAAATACAAATTTGATACACATTATTCAAAAGAAAATTACATACAGAAATCTCATCAACTTCACATGCCCATTTTAACGTTGGTTTTGGTGACCAACCAATATGTTCAACACAATCCTAACAAATCAAAAGTGTGATTTTCAAAATAATAATTCACATGACACCCGAAGACAATATACATTCCACCAAACTTAGAAAACTATCTAATTCGAGGATTAAGTTTTATGCAATGACAATATAATTTTTTTTTTCTTTTTTCCACATAAAACGTGCAGTTTAATTTATAACATATTGGTTACTGTTTTTTAGGTTATTAATTACTAATATTTATTATAAAATTTTATTTATAATTACCCAATTATAAATACACTGCTTGTATAAAAAAAAATTTAAATAAGTCGTGCATAGAAGTTAAATTGTTAAATCAAATGCTACGGCCAACTACCACCAAAGTCTCATTTATTTGGAATTGGCCCACAAAACAAATATAAAATTCTACATCACCAACGACTAAGTCTATTTTCCAGATGAAGTGGCGTGAAAGAAGAGCTGAACAATTTTCCTTTTCTTGGTTGTGACATTTCAACCAACTCAGCTTAAATATTGAACTAATCATTTGACCCCTACACCTTTTTGTTCCATTATTCCACAACCAAATACATAACCATTTTCATGTTCCTTTTTTAATTTCCCATTCGGTATCCGATATCCGCATTGAAGCCCAACTATATTCAAATTCGCACCGGGTAAGGCCCCATTCGGAGGGTAACGCTCCTTACCAAATATTTTTTCATACCCAGGGCTCGAACTCGAGACTTCTGATTAAGGGAGGAGCAGCCCTATCTACTGCACCCCATCCTTTAGTAATTATTTTCATGTTCCTTAGGATTTGTTACACTATAAACCCAAAACTAACCTACTAAATTTTTGCCCTACTATGCCAACAAACATTTCTTCCCATTAATGTTGTGATTACTAATGCTTTAGCGTATGCGGACGATAGAAAAAATTCGTCGGCCGACCAAAATCCTCCTCGGTCAGTTTTATTTGTTAGTTTTACGAAACCAATCAACTTCGATCGATTTATTTGGCACAAAAAATGCACAAAAAATGCGAAAAATCATTTTTACGAACATCCCTAGATAGAACATTTATATAACCTTAGAAATGTTAATTTGTATGAAATAAACCTAAATTACAAGGCTTTAACTCTAGATATCTAGAATTCGCACTTCATCTTGTCTATTTCCTTCCCTGTAATAGACATGGTAAAAACTTATTCGTATTGTGTATTTACAATTTTACATCAAACTGATAAGTGCATAACATATGTTTATAATAAATTCATCTCACTTAATCATGATTAATTAAGCAAATGCTTTTCACCTAATAAAAGCACTTAACCATAATAAATTAATATAATTTAAAGTAAACACCTTGCGCGAGTGAATATTTGATACAATTTGGTGTAAACATTTGGTGCGAGTAATTTTTACCCTTCAATTTCCAAGATACTCGTTGGTTAGCAATAAGAGGTAGACTCGGTAGTAACTACAGTAGTAACTAATCACCAAATAACAATAAGATAATTATTAAGAAAACAAACTTAGATATAACTTGTTTTGCTCATATTATCTTCTTATTATGCAGCAATTCCTGCTGGATTACACAAAACATAATATTAATATTAATATTAATATTAATATTAATATTAATCTCCACACAAAAAGTGTTCCTCCATATCATATGTTTTGCATATATATATTTATATATATACAGTAAATACTTTCTTGTTTTATGCTCTGCAAACTCTTCAGTATACTAGAAGCAAATTCCTCTATATATCCTTCTTTCATTCTCTGATGAAATGCAAGAACTATACATTCATTTAGTTCTTATTCTCTTCAAAAATGTCCAGAAGTGAAAGGGCCTGCAAAATCACAAATCAAAATGTTCATGTTATACAAAAGATTTCATTTACATTTACGTGGAACAATCGATCGATATTTAGGGTTTAAACTTGTCAAGAAAATGGTGATCACCTCTGGAACATTTAACTCGAGGCGGAATTTAGGACCGTCGTAGTGGTGAAGAATTGGCCTGAATGAATCCTCTTCGAGTGGTTCGCAGACTTTCCTTGTCACAACACGAACCTGTAAGCGAGAAGTTGTAAGTCGAGATTCCCAGAAACGATGAACCACAAACAACTGAATCATTCGTATGTTGATCGATTTCGATTCATCTTCAAGTCAAGGCAGATACACATTCTATAATATTAAACAACACTAGTGAACATGTTTATAATCGAGAAATCCCCAAGGGCTATTGGTCCACCGTTTGGAACTTGGTGAAAAATGAACCCGTCCCTCCACCCTTCTCAACTTAAATACCATACTTTTTTTTGTAGCGCTATACAAACCCGTGGTGTTTGCCCAACCCTCACTATGAGTTTAGACTAAAGCCCTGCGGCTCAACTATAGTATGCATCTAATATTAAAATGATCTTCAAGTTGAACCAAACACAGACTTCGTAACTTTAATCTGGTAACTCGAAACAAAGATGGTAGGCGGATGTGCAACAATTAGCTTTTAATAACAGTTCAATATTTAAAAGAAATTATTTGCGGAAGAAGGTAAAATATCATTCAGTAACTTCTCTTACCTGAGCAGGAAAGCGAGATTCACCAGGGTTCTTCTTGTCCTCCCAGGCCGACGGATCAATATTCGATCCACCAAAGCTTGCAGCCTGTAGTTGGTTTATCATGTATTTAGTTCGACGAAACAAAAAGAGAATAAGTAGATAATTCATCCATTTTCATTCAAACATGTAATACAAATAGTATAGAGATACAAACCTCAAAAACTCCGTGAAGCTGATGGGTCGAGTAGTTGTACAGGAAGAGAGGCAACCCAGGGGTTATTTGTCGAACTGAGTCCCTGTAACGAGGTGGCAAGCCTGAAACATAATGGGAAAATTAGATACTAGACACAAACAAAATTCTGAATGAAATTCATAGTGTAATTTCCACAAACAATGAATAAACTATAGAGTCCTATGTATTAAACAAAAGCACAAATCTTAATGGAGCTAATAATAGTGTAAATTTCACAGATCAATGAATAAACCAGCCTCAAATCCTAAACTGGTTAGAGTTGATTTTAGAATCCTTATTAAAACAGAAGCACAAATCTTATCGCGAGTTAAGAGTGTAGATTATGCTGATCAATGAATAAATCATCCTCAATTCTAAACTGTCTACAACAACAGACCCAGTGTAATCCCAAAAGTGGGACCTGGGAGTAGTATGTACGTAGACCTTACCCTACCTTGAAGAAGGCAGACAGTTAATTGACTAAACTGTCTGGAGTCGATTAAAGGATCCTCTCTACTAAACAAAATCACAAATGTTAAGGAGCTAAAAGTGTAAATTTTTTCTTATCAATTACTAAACTACACCTTAATCCCAAACTTCGATTAAGTTATATGAATCTTCTGTATTAATTCTGCTCTATTCAAATCCAATTCATCTCAAACCAATACTATATTCAAACAGCCCCTAAATTACCATCAGATCATCATCCTAATCCGATTTAACTCACACTTATTGGTAATTGACTTGAATATTCAAAGAGATAATCCAGCTATGAGGAACTTCATAAGCAACAACAACAACAACAACCACACAGTATAATCCCACTAGTGGGTCTGGGAGGGTAGTGTGTACGCAGACCTTACCCCTGCCTGCCCTCGGGTGAAGAGGTTGTTTCCAATACACCCTCGGCATCCCTCCCTCCAAGACTCCACTTTGCTCTTGGGTGACTCGAACTCACAACCTCTTCGTAACCATCTCCAATAATAATAATAATTAATACTAAAGTTACAAATTACAACTCATAGCTGTAAAGATTCAAACTGAACACAATCAACTAATTTCTAGACTAAAATTGCTTAGCCTCTCAATTCATAAACAAAATCTTTAGCAATTGCCTATTATCCTATTAAATCAGGCACAAGATCCATTCAAAATACCTTAACACCACCTATTAGTCAAAAAATTTAAATACAAACAAAAATATCAAACACAGAAATATAGATCAATAATAATAAAGGAAAATATGAGAACAATTAAATAAATAAAAAAACTTACCAAAGAGCTCCCTTTTGAGATTTTCAGCCATAGTATCATTGTTGCAAACAAAAATATATCCACCAACAGTTTCATTTCTTGGCAAAGATTCAGCTGGTGGCAAAGTCTTAAACCTTTTATCAACACCATTCTGTTTTTCACCATTAATATCCTTGTTATTACTCTCTTTATTATTACTCTTATTATTCTTCTTCACACTTTTATTATTCCCATATCCAAACTCATCTTCAACACCAACTTTCCCAAATTTCTTGTTTAATACACCCTTTGTATTCACAGCAATATTGTTAATACCTTTACTATAATTAAAATTCAAACCTTGGTTTGAATATATCCCTTTATTAAACCCACCATTTAAACCAAAATCAAGAACCCCTTTTCCGGCAACTCCACTTCCGGCGCCGGTAACCGCCGATGGGTCGGCGATTTTCCAACCGTCGTTGCTAAAAAGATTGTAATTTGACTTGTTGGGGTTATTGCTAACAGTTGAAGAATTGTTGTTGATGTCACCACCTACTCTTATATCAAAATTTCTCCTTTCTTCAGGTTTTCTGGAAATATAATTATTGCTCCAAATTGAATCGTTTAAACTGAGATTTGCTAAGTTGTTGTTCTGTAAACGGAGTTGATCACTGAATTGCCAGAAAGATGATTGATTGTTGTTCTCCATTTTTTGTATAAATATTGAAAGTTTTTGCCTTTTCTTGAATACCCGAATGAGGAATTTGTGTAAAGATTGAGTCTTTGGTTGTGAAAGAGTTGGAGTTTTACTTACAGTAGAGAAATGGTGTTTTTGAGAGGAGAAAATGGAAAAGGTGGGTGTGTTTATATTGGAATTTAGGTGTAATGGGGTTGAGGAAATTTCCTAGAAAATGAGGTTGGTGGGTGGGAGGTGGGGTGGGTAGGTGGGTGGTGAGTTTGCGGAGGGGGGGGTGGGAATCGCGTGTGAGATTGTCAAAGGAGAGTGTGGAAAAGTAAACAGTGGAAAATGGAAAAGGCAAAGAAATTTGATGGATCCAAAGAAGAGTGAAGTACTAGTAAATTAATCAAGGATTTATGTATAACTTTTTTTTTTAATAGATTTACACGTTACATGGTATGTCAATTAAGTACTATTTTTATCAAGTAGTCAATTAAATTTATTAAGAAATTTATTTGTCATTATGTAATAAATAATTTAATTGTATAAATATATATATGCAGCTTGTTGGCCAAATTTTTAGAAAGGAAAAAATATTAATAATCATCAAAAAAATGTTTATAATCTTTTAAAAAGTATTTATTCTTGATAGTTGAGAGGTGTTTCGTTAAAATTTTAGGAAAAAGATATATGATTTTTAGTAATATTAGAAGTTGCTTAAGCTGATAGATTTTTTCCATAAATATTTTTGAAACTTTAGTAAAATATCAGTTACCGCTTTAATATTCATAAATGTACTTTTTAAATTTATTAATCAAACATAAATTACTATTCAAACAAATTTTAGAAGGTTGGATAAAAAGATTAGTAATTTAAATTATTAGGGCTCGTTTGTACGGTGTAAGAGATAATTAATGTTTAATATTAAATTTGAGATGAGATTGTGGCCAAACTATTAGTTATCCCGAAATTATAATATTATTTTTATTCCTATAGGAGAATGAGATAACAATCCCGAAATAATTAATTTCAAGATAATTAATCTTGATATAACTTGTTTCTATACCAAATAATCCCTCAATGTATTAATAACTACTCGTAAGTACTCGATGTACTTCCCAGACCCATACGTGAAATTATACCGGATTGTTGGTAAAAATAGTATGGGCTAGCCAGTTTTTGAACTGGTCATTCAAAAATAGATAGCATTTGTAAAGTTATTGAAAAATAGCCACTATTTTGCTATAATGCGAAAAGTTCCAGCATAATATACTGGAGATCGGTGCACCTGTGTATGAACTTCCAGCATATTATGCTGAAACTCCAACACACGGAAAGTTCCAGTATAATATACTCGGTGCTTCAATCTCCAATATATTATCTGGACCGGTATATTATATTATAACTCCAGTATAATATACTGGAGTTCAAGTATATTATACTTGAATTTTAGTATATTATACTGGAGTATTTTTCCTGATTTTAAACAGTATTTTTGTTTAATTTATCCTTGTACAAAAATTAATTAAATTTTGATTACTTTTGAAACTGTACCTATTTTTGAATGTCTTCCGGATTGTTGTTGTTGTTACTCGCCGTATAGATAATTAATTATATTTGGTGGTCTTTAAGGTGGGCGAATGAGAGAGTGGTGACGGCAAAGAAAACAAACAAAAAAAGAAACCACGCGGTTTAGAAAATGGCTAGAAAGCGACAAGAAGTTGGGGTTTCATTTTTTGGGTTATTTTCTCAAGAAGAAAAGAAAAGATAAACACTAATGTGAGACGAAAAGTAATAAAGATAAAATAATTACTGAGATATAGGGACCCTAAAACTTTTGTTTTTAAAAATATTCAAGAATTATTGAAAAAAAGTAATATTCTGTTAGTTTGTTGATGATAGGCTATAATTGCATATTTTAGTCGCTTATTATACTCGAATTTACTGCACTTTAATTGATTTTGCGCTTTAATCGCTAGTGTTTTGCACTAATTGTGTGTTTTATGCCTTGTAGGTGTGATTCCGAGCTATATAGATGTTATGGAATGAATTTAAGTGATTTGAAGCTTTGAAGTCTGAGTAAAAGCTCAAGGAATTAAGCCGGGATCGTGTTCGGGGGTCAAATTTGATAATTAAGTACGAACGAAGACTTGAGGAGGCATATTGCGCATTGTCTAGTAAAATAGACATAACGTTTTTCTCAGAACTCCATTTGGGCTCCACAATATATGGTTGGAAAGCTAATTCAAAGGGCTACAACTTTCATGTTTTACGTTTTTCCAAATTCCAAACGGAACAGGGTAAAAAATGCGGTCGAAACCGCGACCGCGGAACTGACCGCGGCAGAAAATCAGAGAACTTGTCTGGCCGCGGTTCTACCGCGTTTTGGCCGCGGTCGCGCCGCTCCAGGTGTCAAAAAGAAGTCCTATTTCGCCCGGGACAAGTTTATTTCGGCCCTACACTATTCCAACTTGTATAAAAGGGGTCCTAAACCTATTTTGAAGAGAGGACATATTTTGGACATAGATTCGACCTAAGGAGGCAAGAACACATTGGGAGCAAGGCGGAGACTTCTTCTACGAGTTTTTCCTTCCTCTTCCTATTTTTCATTGTTGGTTATGACTTTTAGTATTGTAGTTTTACATACTATTATGAATAGCTAATTTGTTATCTAGAGTTTGATAGAACCTTTTGTAGGATAAATTCTTGTTATGTTTTTATATAATTGAGCCATAGCTTTTCTCTATTTGTTCAACTACGTTTATATTCTGGTTGATTGAAGAGCTCTCAATTAGCTGTCCCTATTTAGTATGCATAACTCGGGAGAGAGTGCATATTTAAGTAATTGTTGAACAACACCACTCCCAGAGTATATGAGGGATCAATAACCGAGGGTTTAAAGGCGGGATTAGGGATAACGAAGCCTTGGGTGCGATCTGAAGTGAGCTGTATTAAAAGCCAGCTAGCGTAGCTCGGGAGAGTGCGTATAGTAAATTGTCGTAATTACTCGGGAGAGATTTACGGTAATAAGAGTGCTCATGATCGGTAGAGAATACTTAGGCGAAATTATAGAAGACATAGCGGGAAGGATTCCGACAATTGGGGAAATCATAACTCTAGACCTCCTTAATCTTTTCTCTAACCCTCAGTATCGTTAGTTGTTAATTTACTATTTTAATTTATTAGTTAAGTAGTTAAACACAAGAATCTTAATATCTATAAGTTAGGAATTGTTCAAGCTTGTCTTCTTGGTGATAGTAAACAGTTGTAGCTAAACCTTAGTTCTCTGTGGGATTCAACTCCGGACTTGTAAACCGGATTATATTTGCAACGACTGCATTGTCCTTTTTATAAGGCATAGTTGGGCGTGATCAAATTTTGGCGCCGTTGCCGGGGAACTTAACGGTGTAGTTGTAGGTGTACATATTGCTAGGTTTCAAGTTTGAACTTTTATTTTATTATTTGATTTTTTTTTATTATTTTAGTTTTATTTGTTTATTTGAGAAACATGACATCATGGAATTATGAGAATTTTGTTGTTGGTAATTCTACTTTTGATCCTCCTTATGCATATTGTGAAGGAAACCACCCAGGGCAAAATTATCAAAATATTCCTGAGAGCGAGTTTTGTGCACCAACTCAATCTTATGTGTGGAATGTGTGTGATATGTGTGGTGGTCAAGATGGTCACTTTCACGGTTGTGCTTATATTTCTTACCTTCCCCCAACCCCTTACTTTGATGGTTCTTCTTTTTCTGGTGAAGTTAATAGGAACAAAGAACCTAGGGAAGCTGACCTGAAGAAGCTCGAAGATATGTTAAAGTGCATTTTGGAACAACAGAGTAAATTACTACTGCGAATAGAAAGGCAGGAGGAAACTATTCACAACTTGAAAGTTCACATGAGTCAACTGGTTGAAGCTTTTAATTCTCAACATGCCACTATTGTGAATAGTATCCAAGAAGAGCGTGAATTAGATACAGAAATTGATGAGCTAGAGGAGGAGGCTAGAGTAGAACACCAACAATCAATCGCACTAGATTTTGAGGATGTCGATGTTGTAGAAGAGATACTAGAGTCAACCAAGGATATTGAGGATACATATTTTGCTGACTCTATTGTCATTAGTGTTGAGAATGTAGACAGTCCCAATGTTCATGTAGTTGAGCGCATGGGTCCTCACTCCAAGCATTTTTCCACATTGTGTTTAGATGATGATATGGAAATAGAGTCGTCCGAGCCATTTGAGGAGTCAAGGAATGAGGAACAAAGTGCTTACATTCTGGAATTCTTCTTGCCAGAAAATCGGGATTACACACCTCATCTAAAGGCCAAGAAGTGCAGAATACTACATTATTTTATTGGGCCAGCCAGATTCGTTCCACCACCCCAGGAGCATGATCATAGAGCAGAATCAAAACTTGGGGTCTGATTCATAAGTTCAAAGTGGAGGCAGAAAGTGATTCACGTCGTGTCGCGACGTTAAATCAAGCGCTCGTTGGGAGGCAACCCAGCTTTATTGCTTTCTTTTATTTTTTTTATATTTTTTTTATTATATTTTTTTTGTAGTATCAATTTTTTTTATTTTCAAGGAGCATGGAAAGCAAAGGTATTGGAAGGATGCACCAACAAATGAAATTGTTGGAACTAAGTGTGAGGTACCCGCACGAAGGACCAAGCAGGGAGAAGTCTGAGTACCCCATGAGCTGCTAGTGCTTCGGCCTTTGGCCTACCAGGGAGTTTCTTTTACCTTCTTGTATGTATGGATGTGCATTGGGGACAATGCACAATTTTAAGTGTGGGGTGAGGAGATTGTCTGGGTAGTTTTTCATGCTACTTTAGCTGTGTTTTTTTTTTTAAAAGATTGGACTTTTCCTGATGACGGATCTTCTAGAGAGTTTTATTGAGGGAAGTAAGTCTAAAGAAAATACCAAAAAAAATTTTTGTTTTGTTAGGTAGTGCAGCAATTACCCCTTGGTTTTTCTTTAAACCACGGTTCTTTTCCAAGGGTTTTATTTGAACCGGGTGTAGTTAGTTTTTTTTCTTTTTTTTGGGGGGAATAGGAGCCATTATGTTTTGTTTTGAAATGAAGTAATATCTCTTGACTTTGTTATGCCTTGAGAATAGAGAGTACTTTGGCTTTGACGCTTAGGCTTAGTTTTTGACTCTTGTATAAGTACCTTA